ATAAATAATTTAATTTATTTTGACAGTAAATAATTTTTTTACAATAATGTAAATAGTTATTTTAAAATTATTTTATGATAATAAATAATTACTCATCTAATTAAAAAAATATGAAATATTTATGAGTTAAATATATTTTTTACTTAATAATTTAATCTAGTTATAATAAGGCTGAGTTATGATAATTAGTTAGATTAGGTAATTTTAAAAAAATATCTATAAAAAATTACTTTAAAATAAATATTTAATTTTTTCTTAATAATTCTAACACAATAATAATATCTCTAATATCTCAAATTTATCCTATAATATATTTTCAAATATAGTATATTAAATTATAGTATTTTGAAATTATTTAAATATTTTTATTTTTCAATAATAATAAAAAATCTACTTTATCAAATTTCAATCTATTATTTTTAATTGAAGAAGATGGAGGGAGAGAAGAATAAAAGAATAAAAAAAAGTAGATAAAGAGAGAGAAAAAAAAGAAAAAAAAAGGGAAATATTATATTATATCTAATTAATTTACTTTTTATTATATTTTGTGTATAAATAATAAACAAGTATAGTTGAATAAATAAATTTTTAAAAAAATTATTTATATAATTTTTTTAAAATATATTATTTATGGGATCCCACCACTAACTTATTCAATTTCTTTAAGACCATCACTTTAATGTAAGTTATTCAAAACATACCACTTAAACAACAATAAAAATGAACATCTTCTAAAATTCTTTAATATTCACCCCTTTACAACATCATAGCATCCTAGTAAAATATTTTAATCTCACCAATGTCTAAATGTCATCTTATTTTGACCAAACCTAAGAATTCAAAACTCTAAAAGTCTATTATGATTCAAAACAACCGGTCAATATATCTCTCTAAATTAAAAAAAAAAAAAAAAAACATTTCCATCTCAATTTCATTGTATTCCCCATGATCCTTAAAAAAAAGAGAATTATATGAGTTTATTTTAATAGAAATGGACTCAATATAAATTCATCATGATGAGGATTCTAAAGCGCAAAGAACCATATTTTCAAAAGTTAAAATTCTCAACATACTTTTTGTTCAAGAATGGGGTCAGGAGCTTGATAAATTCTCAACATACTATCATAACAAGTAGATAATCAATATTTGGCCAGGTCAATAATAGTAAAAATGGTGGGTAAAGTTTGATACATCTTAAATAATAATAATAATAAAAATAAAAAAGAAACAAATTAATGAATGAATTAAGTAGTCTAAGTTACAATATACAGTAAAATAAAAAAAAATCTTAATTTTAACATAAAAAAATAATGACATACTCATCTCCTGTGTTGAAAGAAAAATATATAAAACACTAAAAAAAATAGGTGAATTCAACATAATAATTGGAATTGAAGACGAAGAAGTCCTGATTTATGAAAAAACGGGTCATTTAGTGAAATTTGGTCTTATTTTATAGGTTAAGTAAAATAAATTAATAGTTCAGTTTAACCTATATTTTAAAATGGATCATAATTTTTATTTTAGTTTGACCTTAGATCAGGCTAATGCGTTAACAGGTCAAATTTGACTTGATTAAAAATTAAAAATAATATTTAAATAAAAATAAAAAATATATTTTTAAAATTTAAATTATATTAATAAAATTAATTTTTATTTAATAATTTAATATATAAATTATAAGAGAATGAATCCATTCAATACTAAAATAAGAGTTAAAAACTTACTCTTTATTATCATCACTCATTTTTTTTAGTAATTTTTTTAAATAGTAATTAATCTTAATTATTATATTTTGAAATAAGTGGTTGTTAGAGACTTAGTCTAATATTTACTCTTAAAATAAATGAACCTCTTATCAAATTAATTTATAATATATATATATATATATATATATATATATATTAATAAATTAATATTACTTTTCTTTTTATTTCAAGAATAATTATTGTTCTAGCTTGGGCTATGCTTATGTCTTAAAGGACTAAGCTAAAATATATATGATTCATTTAAGTGACAATTTTTTTTACCTAGTCTAATCTATTTTTCAAATCTTTTAAATTGATCCGGATTAAACCTATTTTGATACTACTAAATTTAGTAATTATATGCAAAGCAATAAAATTTATTTTCATGATATATTTAATTGAAAAAAATGCAACAATCTTATTTTCAAAAATTTTAAAACAAGATTTAATAATCCAAATGTGCAAGTTTAAGATTAAAAAAAAATCAATTAAAAATAGAAGTCACTTTGTGAGAAACTAAAAGTCAGATATTAATATTTAAAATATAAAAGAATCTGTTTAAAATAGAATATAGGAAATTTAATAACAAGAAAAATATTTCAATAGAATCAAAACATTCAAGAATTTTATTATAATTATCTCTAACATTGCAAATTTCTCTTCAAATAATTTTGTGCTATTGCGTGTCTATTTTAATATATTTATAAGTTTCATGTCGCTAAAGAGTCAATGTATTATATATACATCACCTCCTTTCAACCTACTGGTAAGTCTTGTAAAGATAAAATAATGAAAGACTAGAATTCTAAAGCGGACAATATCTCAAACGTGGTAATGATTCCTAACGATGTTATCATAATAGACATGAAACTGAAACACTCTCGTTTCTGAACAAAATATTAGCACCAATTGTGGGTCAAGATCAGAGTCTCGCTCCACTCCTATCCCTTAGTCCTCGACTGAGGGCTATGTTCCCATATGCTCATAAGTTTCACATCATTTAATAGTCTAGATCCATGATAGTTTATATATATGATCATCTCTCAACTCACTGAGATGTTTTTAAGAATAAAAATAATTATGTATTAAAATTCTAAAGTAGACAATTCTTCAAATGTGGTAATGACTCTAACGATGTTATCATATATGAGGTCAAAACACTCTCGTTACTAGACAAACACTTACGGAGAAGTGGTTCCTTAATTAAAGAAACTATTTTTTTATATAAGGTTTAATGGTTGTTAATAAAAGTTGTTTATTATATTATTACTATGTAATATGCTTTAATATATTCCTAGTTATTAAAAAAAAAGGGGAAAATATGTTTTTATTAAATATTTTATTTTATCTCGTGTGAAATCAAATGATTTTGTAATTAAAAGCACACAAATAAAGTATACACATTACGTAATGGTTTACAAGACATAAATCTAACTACTTCTCTAACAAAGATGATTAAAAATTTAATGAAATAATTTGCATAACATGAACACTAGATAAAATATTTTAATTGTACTAGACAAGAACATTTTTTATAAATACTATATGAAAAAACATATTTTACTAAAACATATTCAGAAATTATTGTGTTTATATAAGTTATATGTTAAACTTTATTTTACTTAAATTTAAAGTTTTGTTTCATAATTATCTTATTTTATATACATATTTTATGCCATTATTTTGTTTTGAAATATTAATTTTAGTTTTATACTTTAATTTATTCTTTATATAAAATGGAGTAAAAAAATGAAAATGTAAGTGAAGAAAAAGATAAAAGTATGAAGATAAAAAGAAGAAAGAGAAAAAAAGTGTAAGTGGAAAATTGTGTAAGAAATAAATATCATATTTATTATAAATAAAAATTTAGAATAAAAAGAGTAAATTATAATTATTTATTTTTCTAAAAGTAATATATATATATATATATATATATATATATATATATTTATAAAATTGGTGTGGGTGTGGGTGGAGATTATCCAAGCTACTCAAATTTATATATAAATATTTAAAAAATGATAAACAGAAACTTATTCTATAAATTTTTTTGATAGATTCTAAATATTTTTTTCTACTCTTGATATAATAAAAGTGTGCTTAGAAAAATAAAAATAAAAATAAGAGAACATGCAAAAAAAAAAATGAGGGAAGAAATGAAAAAAAGAATTATAAAAAAATGATAGTTTTATAATAATAAAATTTGAATAAAATCTTTTATTTATAACTCTTTTTTATTTTACTAATAAAACCTTTAATTTTCTCCCAATAAATCACTCCTATTTTTTAACTTACTGTTTCTCATAACATTCATCAAATACATTTAATTTTCATTTCAAAAGTCTTATATATTTGTCATTATTTAAATTTCGATCCATAACCTTTGATTCTTTCTACATAATAATTTTCTTCCTTAGCGTAACTTTCCAAAAAAAGGGACAATGTCAACGGATTAGAACAAAATGTAGATTAAAGAAGTAAAAGTAAGCGTTGTTTTGGCACTAAACCAAATTAGTATATTTCCTTCGAACAATAGCAAAGAAATAATTAAGGACTTCAACATCATTATTTAAAGTAAAGTTTTATTTATTGTATAAATAATATGATATAATGGTGTGAGCTGGCCCCACAAGTTTGACTTTATCTTATGCTCGCCAACTTTCAAAGTTGACTCAACTAATACGCGTATATTTTATCATATGGTGGATAAATTAATAATTCATCATCAGTGAAATAATTACTTTAAAGATAATAGATATGGTGAATATTAATACAGATGCATGCATGATTACAAATTAAATTTCAGATTTCTATTTAATTTTTCTGTTAATTGAGTTTTAGTAACCAAATATAAGATAAATTTAAAATAAACTATTTATAAAATATGATTTTAATTTTCGAATTTTGTCATGTAGCCAAAAAAGCTGACCCAATGTGCAAACGCGAGAAGCCACCTTTTGACATTTGTAAACAAATCTCATTCCGAAGCAAACAATCCCCGAAGTCACAAAGTGGTGGTTGAGAATTTTCTTTGTCAAAACAAAAACAAGGGAACAACTCAACACGTTCTGCTTTCTCTCACAGACACCCTTTCACTATTTCCCATTAAAAAAAAAAAAAAACACAACCCCAGAATTCTCGTACCCTTGATCCTTCGTGGGGTGTCGACGATTATCCCTCTCTCGTTTTCCATTGCAGAAAAATCAGACCTTGAAATTAAAACCTCCATTTGGTTTTGGCGTGTTGTGAGAGATGTGCCCTCTGAGGTTTATCTTGGTGTTCTTCTCCGCCGTTCTGGCTGGTTATTTTGCATGGAAAACGTTGCGTTCTGACGCGAAGATCGAGGTGTTTTCTGAGGATTCTGCTGAAGAAGAGAAATCATCCAAGAAGGAAGATTTTGATTTCAAAAAGGTACCCTCAAAAAATCATGATTATTTCTGAGACGACCCTCGTTAGAAAATAGAATAACCCAATTTACCTTTTGAAATTTTAGTGGTGGGTAGATTAGTTTCCTAGGATGAAACAATAGGGGTTGTTAAGGTTGCATTTAGGGGTGGGTTGAGTAGTTTTTGTTTTAATGCAACATTTCTTTAGTTTAGATTTGTGATTTTTGAGGATTTATGAGAGTTTGACGTTTGTTTAAGAGATGAAAACATAAGGTTTGAAATTGTTTAATGTGTGATAGATTCAGAGATTTTGTTCCGGGGGTTTAGTTTTGGTTTATTATTGACCAGAATGATGATTTGTTTTCCAGATGATTCAGAATGGATTTTGGGGTTTCGTTGACATGGCCAGCGGGAGGTATCTGTGGAGGAATTTGAGGCCAACGAATAAAGAGGGTGAATTGAAGAGCTCTTAATAGAGACTTTCTTCTTTAACCACGTCTCTTTGTTTGTGATTTGTCTTGTGCAAACCTAATGTAATTGTATTCTCACTTCTCTTTGTGGGTTCAAGAATGTTTGGTGCTAAAGAAAATGTTGTGCAAATCTCATTATTATGCATATTTCTCCCTTCTCTCAAAACGGTCATTTTTTTATAAGAAAAATAAATTTCTACCATTTTCAAAGTTCAAAAGAAAATTAATTACTCTTATAGTTTATATCCTTACTCTTTATCTAATCTTCAATTTTATATATATATATATATATATATATATATATATATATATATATATATATATATATATATATATAGTGATGTATAAAAAGAAAAGGATAACATAGAAAAGCTTATAAATTTTTTATTAAAATTAAAAACATTATTGCATTTCTTGATTACTAAAAAAAAAACTCAAAACTTACTTAACTATTATCAAGTAAAAAACACGCAACTCCTTTATAGGTACTCATCAATAATGTTAAATGAGAAAAGTTATTCGATAATTGAATGAAAGTAGATTAACATGTTTTACTTAATTTTTAGGTAATTTGTATCTGATTAGTTGGGATATTAGTCATCTTTAACTAAGTTAACTACTAAAGTTATTTCTATCTTTATATATATATATATATATATATATATATATATATATATATATATATATATATATATAATTTCTTCTCTTTGATGAGAATAATTCTATTTTCATGGTTGAATTCATGATAAACATTTAATAGGACACTATGATCCTTTCAAGTTGGTTTTAATTTATCAAGATCTTCTCACTATACTTGATACTACTAAATCTACTTATACCTTCTTAAAATTACTTTGCTATCAAAGATGGATACTAGATGAAGAATTGGAGTGAGATCATAATTAATAATAGTAATAGATAGTGGAATGTAAGGACTAACATGATATTCTCATGAAATTAGAAAATTATATGTATTTTTATAGTATTTATTCTCCATGATTGAAAATGGTAAAAAGTTTTTCATTCTCAACTTTGGACTCTTTCCAAAAGTATTGAATTACAAATTTGCCTAGAAATTATTTTGTATTTTAAAATTATTTTTTTATATTCTCATACATCTTTACGTAATTTTAAATATTATTTAAATTCGTCTTTAGTTTCACTAAGAATAGTATTCTTTTACAATAATCGTTCTTTATCTTAGTAAGATCTTTGAAATTCGAAATATATTTTATTAAAGTGGATTCCTTGCACATATTACATTGAATGGTGTAATGACACTATTGTGATGATAAGTCATTCTAAATCAATATTTAATCCTCAATAACAATTTAGTTAAATCCTTAGGTGAATCATAATTGAAATGCCTCATATACATTTATTTAATGCTTCAAATTATCTATCTAATTATGGATGATAAGCAATACTTAAATTCAATTAGGTGTCAATCATTTTTAACAAGTGTTGTCAAAATTTACTAATGATATGTCTCTATTTGATACAATAGTCTTAGATATACAATGAAGTTTCACATATATTTTCGCAAAGGTATATGTTATGTTTACTAGAATAACATATTTTTATAATAGAAAATGACCATACTTTGATATTCCATCAATAACCACCATATCATATTACGGTCATGAGGAAGGAAGATCTACTATGAAACCCATGACTAAATCATCCCATTTTTTATTAGGGATGGGAAGAGATTAAAGTAACCCTAGTGACAATGGTATGTCAATCTTGACGTACTAGCAAACCAAACCAAGCAAGTTTGAATATACTTCTTAATATCCTTGTACATTCCATCATATAAGTGTCAATTTTTATGACAAATAAGTTTATAATCATTATAAAAAGTTACAATTCTTTTTAAATATTTTATCTATTTTATTAACCAACCTTCTTACATGAAAATTCATATATTTTTTAGGCAAACATAATATAATGACATTAGATGTAGAATAGTTATAATTCAATGTTATATTCAATAATAATGTAATAAAGTACGTAAAACCATTAATTATAATCTTCCTAAATTTACATTATTCAAAATCAAAACTATCAATTTACAATTATATATAAAAAAATAGGAAGTCTATTACATTCATATGTCTTTTATAAGTTCTTCCAGAATGCCATACCAAGTGGCTCAAGGAGAGGTTATCAACATGTTAAAGTTGGGGTGAATTGTTAATCAAAATTATTCTATAAGGGAATTTGAATTGAATGTGAGAAAAACATATATTTATCTCTTTTCTAGTAAATGAATTTTCAACAATGAAAAATTTCTTATTGGAGAGAATGTAAGGATTGAGTTTAAGGGTCTCAAGGAGTATGGTTCACTTAAATAAAGAATAAATTATTTTAATGTTTTAAAAGGTTATAAATAAAAAAGAAAAATATTTTATTCTTTATTTATATAAAACTATTATCACTCCATAATGTCTTTTCTCTAAGTTTTTTTTTAGAACTTCACACTTTACACTTCTCTCTAAGATCTAGGATCCATCATTCATCTTTTTCAAGATCCAAGAAGTCAGTAAAAGGTAGAATATTTCTAACTTATCATAATTTCAAACGAAGTAATTTTTTTTTTCACCCTTTTTTTCTCTCTCCTTGAGTGCATGGCTTAGGGTTGATGCATTGACTTTTGTTGGGAAAAGATAAACCTTTGCTAGTTTAGGTTCTTAGTAGTATGTCCAATTTGATGATTAGGATTTTCTATTAGTAGGTTTGAACATTTTATCTAAAAAAATTTCTTAGCTTTGCTTAGTTAGTTTATTTTCACGTAAGGGAAAGTAGTTCTTTATCAATTTCATAGTGCATTAGGTTAGATGATTTAGATGTTATAAATTAACTTGCTCATTAGCGTTGATTTGCACAAATTCGAGTGAATTTGGGTGTTAAATTGTTATTTGTTTCCACAAAAATTATCTTAAAGTTGATTTAAGCATGTTTACAGGGGATCATGTTGGTGCCTAGATGAATTGATATGAAAATGTGATTAGGATAGTAAAATGCATCATATTTTGAATGAAAATCATGGTAGAAATGCTTAGAATGAGTTTTGTACCTAGGTAGATGTTTTAATATTCTACACAATTTGATTTTGATAATTTTTGCTTAAGTGAGTGTTTGTCACTTGAATAACGAGCCATTCAGTTTTGGGAAGGTGGTCTTAGGTTTATTTTCTTGTAAATGATAAATTTTACTCAAGCAACAATGTTCCAAGGGAATGAAGTTAGCTTTGTTCCATTTTTCTTCATGCAAAATTATTGTTATTAAAGCGAAATGTTTCTAAAGGAAAAAACAGAGTCATGACTTAGTTTTCACTCAATTTAATTATATGGTCGTTCAAGTAAGAATTTTCGCTTAAGGGATATTTTTCACTCAAGCAAAAGAAATCAATCTAGTGAAATTAGATAAATGAACATAACTTATGGTTGAGAGAATTTCAAATATGGGTTTAATTCTCTAAGAAAAAAATTATGACTAAGTAAAAATTTATTAATATAAAGAAAGATATTTAGGGTTAATTTTTTAACATTTATCGTAAAGTGAACAAATTAAAAAAAATGTTACTTCCAAATAATTCAGTACTCAATGTTACATTATTATTGTTGAATATAGAAGAAATAGAGTTTGGGATTAATCTCCCTTGTGTATAAATCACACATAGGGTAGTCTATTTATAGTAAGAGATACAACTAAAAGAGTAACTGAAAGTAACAGAATAAACAGAAGATATTGTTTGATATTATGGTTAATATCTAACAATATCTTAACAATATTAAATAATATCTAAACAATATCTAACACTCCCCTCAAGCTGGAGCATACAAATCGTATGTACCAAGCTTGTTACAAATATAATCAATTCTAGGACCCCGTAAAGATTTAGTAAAAATATCTGCTAACTGATCACTTGAGTTAACAAACTCAGTCTTGATGTCTCCAGACATAATCTTTTCTCGAATGAAATGACAGTCAATCTCAATGTGTTTGATCCTTTCATGAAAGACAGGATTAGAACTAATATGAAGAGCAGCCTGATTGTCACACACAAGTGACATTTAAGTGACATCTCCAAACTGTAACTCTCTAAGCAATTGCTTGAGCCAAACAAGTTCACAAGCAGCTGAGACCATAGCTCTATATTCTGCTTCTGCACTAGATCTTGCCACAACACTTTGTTTCTTACTTTTCCATGAGACCAAGTTACCACCAATGGAGACACAATATCCAAATGTAGATCTTCTATCCGAAGGAGATCCTGCCCAATCAGCATCTGAGTAACAAACAACTCTTGTATGGTTATTAGAATCATATAACAATCCTTTTCCAGGAGATCCTTTAATATATTTTAAGATACGAATGACTGCATTCCAATGATCTTCACATGGGGAATTAAGAAATTGGCTTACCACACTGACTGCAAAGGAAATGTCGGGACGAGTAACTCGTAAGATAATTCAATTTTCCAACCAATCTTCTATACTTGCTCAGGATCGGTATAAGCTCCCCCGATTTGGTAAAAGTTTAGTATTGGGATCCATGGGCGTATCAACGGACTTTGAATTCATCAACCCAGTTTCCTCTAAAATATCCATGGCATACTTCCTCCGAGATATAACAATACCATCATTGGATTGTGCCACCTCAATACCCAAGAAATATCTAAGTTTGCCAAGATCTTTGGTCCGAAAATGGTGACAGAGATGTTGTTTCAACTGAGAGATGTCATGGTTGTCACTACCTGTAAGAACGATGTCATCAACATATACTATCAAGTAAACACATCCAGCACTTGAGTGTCGATAAAAGACAGAGTGATCTGCTTCACACCGAGTCATACCAAATTGTTGAACAACCTTGCTAAACTTTCCAAACCAGGCCCTAGGAGACTGTTTTAGGCCATATAGGGATTTGCGAAGACGACATACCATCCCAGAAGACTCCCCCTGAGCAACAAACCCAGGAGGTTGCTCCATATAGAT